ATAACATTCAATTATAACCGATCATATTCAATTATAGAGCGATGGAGGCATTGCCTCTTCTCACGTGACTTTCCCCCATTCATCTCAATGAGCCTCCAGAAAAGTCACGGCACACTTTGGGGTCTCTGCTGAAAGTCTATGGACTGAAGGGAGGCAAGCCTCCGCTTTAACTTTACCTGCGGGTGTCGCTGTTTGACTGTTACTTTATAAAAACGAGTGACTTTTATACTTTTAATGCCATATTTAGTAATATTTGTTTGTAATATCGATTATTTTCTCATCCAATTTTTTTGAGGAGACACTGCCCCCCTTGCCTCCTCAGAGAAAACGCCCCTGATATATATATATATATATATATATATATTATCCATTTAAATTAATTTTTACATTAAAATGTATGTGTTTTTTATGGACTATTTAAAAGTTCAATTTTTTTTGTAATATGCAAGTTCATGACAATTATTTTTGAAAATAGTGTCAATATATTACAATTGTTTTCTGTCTACATGATCTATTTACATACTTTTCTGTATTACAAAGTTCATGACAGTGTTATTTTAGTATCATATTATAGTTTTTATATTTAGAATTAGGCTGTATTTTCATAGGCTATTTTCTGGGGGGGTTTTTTAGTTAAAGGTTTATTAATTTTGTGTGTATTTTGTCAGTTTCATTATTTTTTGTCTATATAGTTTTTATTAGTATATAGTATATATTTATATTTTACTTCAGTTCAAGTTTATTTTATTTCAAGTTATGAACATTTTATTATGGTTTTAGTTAACTGTAATAAACCAGGTTCATGATGAGGGCATTTTGAGTCTGTAACTTTTAATGTCAAATTCTGCTTCTTCAGATGACATCAGGAAAAAAATATTAAATGAATAGAACAAGATGGAGCCACAAGCCAAACGAAGGAAAGAAATGGACACATATGACACTTGGGATGTTCTTCCAGTTCTCTCTGATGAACAGTCCCGGGACACTGAATTGTTGCCGGCCTACGTAGCACCCATCATCGAGAAAAGACAAACTTCTCGCCTGGTCAAAGAGCTTTCCCTGATCTACCCTTTACCCGGTCTGCAGCACATAAAAAGAGTGAGGGCTTGCAAAGACAAAAGCACTCCTCACCCTTTAGAGGTCATTGTGTGCTTGGCCAGAGATGTGCAGGTGATAGACTGCAAAGGAGTTACGCTTGCTGATCTGCTCCGCTCACAGTCTTTTGACTCCAGTGGTTTGGGAGAACCTTTCCTTGTCAAAATACCCGCTAATCCTCCACTAACTAGACCGCAGTTTGAAAAAGCTAGTAAACACTGGCCTACATCATTTCACGAGGACAAACAAGTGACGTCTGCTCTGAGGGGCCAGTTATTCACTGCCGAGCAGAAAGCTAAAATGCAAGAGTACATGACAGCAGCTGTAGAGGCTGCAAAATCAGGTGGGGAGATGGGAATGGATGCAGTGGGTGCTGTGATTGTGGACCCAGAATCTGAGCAGATTGTTGCAGTGGGTCATGACTGTAAGCGTGGCTCTCATCCGCTCCATCATGCTGTCATGGTCTGTATTGATCTTGTGGCCTGTGGGCAAGGAGGAGGCGCCTACAATTACGGGAAATATCCAGCCTGTCGGTTTAGCAGCTCTGAGTCCTTTAGGAATGCCTGCTATGCCAAAGAAACCGGACAGCCTTATATCTGCACCGGATATGACCTTTACGTCACTCGGGAGCCGTGTGTGATGTGTGCAATGGCTTTGGTCCACTCAAGAATCAACAGAGTGTTTTATGGAGCGCCCTCTGCAGATGGTGCCTTGGGAACCAAGTATAAAATTCATTGCCAAAAAGATTTAAATCATCATTTTGAAGTGTTTAATGGGGTGATGCTAAATGCATGTGAGGCTTTATTCAAAAAGTGATAAAAAAAAAAAAAAAATTGATACAATATTACATTGATATTTATGATGACATTTTAATTCTTTTTACGTTTTTAAAACTTTTTTTTTGATAGGACCATAATAAAAACTGTCAATATGGGGTGCTGTGTGTACATTAATGAGGAAAAAAAATTAACTTAAATGATTTTAGCAAATGGCTGCAATATAACAAAGAGTGAAAAATTTAAGGGGGTCTGAATACTTTCCGTACCCACTGTATATTACCTTTCAAAATAATTTTAGTTTTTGTTGAAAGAAATGAAGTTTTATTCAGAAAGGACACAGGAAATTGATGAAAGTGACAGTAAATAAATTTATAATATTACAAATTTATAAATATATATTTTTACATTTCTGTTAATCAAAGAATCCTGAAAAAATGTATCATGGTATCCTCAAAAATATTAATCCGCACACCGGTTTTCAACACTGATAATAAGAAATGTTTCTTGAGCAGCAAATCAGCATATTAGAATGATTTCGGAAGGATCATGTTACACTGAAGACCGGAGTAATGAAAATTCAGCTAGGACATTACAGGAAAATACATTTTAAAATATGATATAATAGAAAACAGTTATTTTAAAATGTAAAAATATTTCAAAATATTATTTCTTAACATTTAGAAAATCTTTCCAACCTCAACTTTTTGAGTAATGGTGTGTATTCTATGATTTTTAGTAAAAGCTTACATGACAGTGTATGATTTACATCAAATGTATTTGGTATTTCACACAATTTATTTTTCTAATGAACAACAGTGTTTCTAATACTTTGCAAAGTTTTATTTGTTTGGAGCATGTCATACAACACATAACATACTATGATCATACCTTTTCTCAAAACAAAAGGACAAAACAATTGGCACAGTTGAGCCTTCGCAGATATTGTCAAAAGACAAGAAAGTGAAAAAATACAAATAGTTTAATAGGTCTATGTTACAGTTTCTCAACTTCAATAATACTGTGACAGAAAAGAGAGCAAAGAATCATGATGGTTTGCTGAAGCTTGGTAATGATCCAGAGTTTTACAATGACATACTGAAATTGAGCTAAAAGTCAACATGACATTTTCGGATTCAAACAGAAGATGAAATAATGTAGGGAAGAACTTGATGTTTTGTTTCAGGGGCAGAGGAAGCTGTTCAAAAATTAGGAAGAAATATTCTTTGAAATAATGTGCACTGATAAAATGTGCAAAATTAGACCAGAAATATGTATTCAAGTAATAAAAGTTCTATTTTTGATTTCATGTTGACTCTAATGAATGTGAAAGCACTTAAAAGCCTAAAAGTTTTGTTAATGTTAATATTTTTTCATTGTCACTTATACGCTGTAAGATATTAACTAAACAAAACTATACATAGTATTGTGACTGAACAAATATTTTTCAGGAAATCATGCAAACTGACTTCTTATTTTTCTCAGAAGCAATGAAAACATTAACGAAACAGCAGAAAGGTTTCATGGCTTTTAAATGAGTTTAAAAACACCTTTTGTCAATTCATGGCATTATCTAAGAATGTATTCAGAAATGTGAAGTGACGCTAAAAGCATAAATCTATCTTAGTGTATCAGTGTTGTGAGCACATTTGAACAAACAAAAACTAATTAACAAAAAACTTTAACCATGAAACCTGGGCCAGCCCAGATCCACAAGGATCACAAAACAACTAACAAAAACACATTAAATATCTTAAGTTATTAATGCTTGTAGAATTGTACTCCTAACATCTCCCTGCAACAATTTCTCAAGATATATCAAACAAAGAGACTCACAATTACACAGACTGTACAAAACTGCTAAGTGTACACAGCTGCGTTACAAAGGGTTATCTCCTCTCCCAAATCAGGCAACAGTTGGTCTGTGCCCTCTGAACACTGGGCTTAATACTTGTTTATTCCAAAGATCCTGACTCCATGGAGTTGTGGCAGTTTTGGGATGAGAACACTCAAAAGCGAAGCTGTGTTTATCACAAAATGAGCCGTGTCATATTTTGTGTAAAAGCTAGCGAGGAAATATCTGCAAAGAAAAGAACAAGTGTTACACTTCAAAATAAGTACAGGATCCTATATAATAAAGGTCTAATAAATATGTCTATAATATTCACTATTCGCATTTCGGATGAGAAAAGTTCATTTATTGTTTTTTGTATTTAGTTCAAAATTTTGTGCAATTGGATGGTTGGTGTTTTAACACCAGGCCAGCTTTCTTGGCTATTTTCATGGTTGAAATAGTATAAAAGAGCCATATAAAAAACCTATATGTGACCCTGGACCACAAAACCAGTCTTAAGTCGCTTGGGTATATTTTTTTTATGCCAAAAATCATTAGGATATTAAAGGGGTCCTATTATGCTCTTTTACAAAGTCTTGATTTTGTTTTGGGGGTGTACTAGAACATGCTCTCATACTAGGTTGTTCGAAAAACACATTATTTTTCACATATTTTACATTATTAGGACACCTCTCGGGCACGGAGGTGAAAAAAAACAGCGTTTCAGGCGGTCGCGCACCGGACGAGAAGCGCAGCGTCGCGTCACATCTTTAAAATTAAAATACATTATATTCTATGAGTGTAGGCACACCGAGATGATGTGAACTGCACGCCATAGTCCAGCTGTTCCCAGTGTGTGAGAAGTCTTGCCTTGCCCTGGTCTGGTGTTTCAAATGGTGTGCCTTTCACTGCATGCATAAACACATACATACCCTGTGGGAAGATTGAAAGACGATCCAAATGTCATACACACTATTCTCAAAGTTTGTAACAATGGGATGTCCCTTAATATTAAAGGGACAGTTCACCCAAAATTGAAAATTCTGTCATTTACTAATGTCGTTCTAACGCTGTATGACTTTGGTTGATCTTGAAAACACAATTTCAGATATTTTAAATGAAACATGAGAAGTTTCTGTCCTTCCAGTAGCGCTTATAGCATTTAAAGAAACAAGCTTTATTTCATTTTTACGATTTTTTTTAATGAAATACGAATTTTGAATAATGAAAATTAGTTTGTGTCTACTTATTCTATTCATCAGTGTTTGAACCATTAAAGAAAAATCACATTTTCCATATTTAATTTCTGGGTTAAAAATGAAAAATGAATGGACGCAAAAGTGCACAGACCTTGTTGTCCTCTCTTCATGGAGTGCTATCGTATGGCTTCAGAAGACTCTGAATATCATCCCTCCCTCTTATAGCTGTAGACTTACTACACTTACTAAATTTGTCTTCCATGTCAGGACAACAGAAACATTACAGTATCCCTAAGAATAGCTTGGCATTATCATTGTGGCGCAAGCTGTAATACATCATCTTGTACCAGAGAGCTTAAACTTGGTTGGTGATGTCATGCTGTTGACCTTGAATCTTTGTGCGAGCGAGTCCTTACATAATGCCACAAAGACTACTAAGGAAGCATCAATTGTCAAGACTCCAACTGGCCTCAGGGCTCTGCTGAGAAAATGACAATCCATAGACAGGGAAATGAAATGCAATATAACAAAGGATTATTCAACAGAGGACACTTACAAAATTGTGAATAACATTTGTGAGGGTCCACACAACAGGAACACTGAAGAAAGGAATGCTCAACAGTACAATGTGAAGCATTCCTACACCGAGCGCATATGTCAGCCATATCCCCCGACTGTTCATCACACGGGTGTTTGGGTTCACTTCACTGTGGGCCACACCGACGTTCATCTTGCTTTTCTGTCGAATAGACAAAAAAAAAAACATATACTGTAAAAAGTATTTTTCTAAGTTGTAAATAAAACTGTTTACTGGAGTACATTTTACAAGAAAATATTAATTCAGATTTTCTATTACAAACTGATTCCAAATTCCAAAATGTCAAAATGGAAAGTGTCAAATAATACAATATTTCTGCATAGTGTAAAAAAGCTGTATAAATAAAATAAACATACATAAAATTAATAAAAAAAACATTCTTCTTTTAAAAAAATTATAAGAAATGTATAATTTCCCCCTCTAAATGATTAAAACTGACAAAAAAAGAACCAGCATTAAATTATTTGGCTAATCAATCGATAAATTGACTAAAATTGATAAAAGTGTGTTGTGATAAAAGTGTTTCTGTCGTCTCATCATAACTAAAAGTTATATGTCAGTGTCAGACACTATCTATTTAGCAGCAGTCCAGTTAATTCCAGTGAAATAAGATGTAAAACTGCCAACTATTCAAATTAATGATAATTTATGCACTACTACAATCTATAGTCTGCAACTGTTGTTTTATGGCTTTAAAAGTACTAGTTAAGAATAGAAGCTGTCTTACAGATGAGGTCTTGTCTATATGCCAACAAAAGCATGTTCACAAACTTACAATGGGGTGATTCTTTGTAGTACTTTGCGCCCTAATGCATTACTGTTCGTGCCGGCCAACTTATTCAAATTATTTGCAAGAGTTCGGTTCTTCTTTGGAAGAGCAAAAAGGGTGGAAGTGACATTTCATGGCCTGTTTTGTTTATCCGCCACGGTAAACATTCTGGGCAGCTGTTTGGAAGTCAAAGTTCAATGTTACCTAATATACAGCTTATTTGTTTGGTTGTTTCTCATCTCAAGATTTCTCACCAAAATCATGGCTTGGTCTTGGTTTCTACTCACCAAGTCAATTGCTTCTTGATCTATTTTACAATTAAAGAAAGCATCCACAGCAAAATGCCATTATTTTATCTCTTATTATTGCTCTTCTACAAATAAATGCAATAAAAGCAAAACAGATTGAGGTCAAAGGTTGAAGTCCTGCTACTGCAACATCTGTCAATAGCCACTCGATTGATCCTCCACTCATTGATTGTGTATAAGTATGTAGTATATATGTAGAATGTATTTAAAGGGGTCATATGATGCGATTTCAATTTTTTCTTTCTTTTTGAAGTGTTACAAGCTCTTGGTGCATAAAGAAGATCTGTACAGTTGCAAAGACTAAAGTCTCAAATCCAAAGAGATATTCTTTATAAAAGTTAAGAGTCAACCACGCCTACCTAATACGGCTCGTTCTAACATGCCCACACGTCTACGTCACGATGTGGGAAGATTTGCATAACACCGCCCAAATGTTCACACAAAGAAAGAAGGCATAACTTTTATTCACGCTGTAGTATTGTTGCTGCCGCCATGCCGTGAAGGCGCTGTGTGTTTCATTGTGAAAGCGAAACTACTTTGTTTGGCCTTCCAAAAGAGGACGATATCCGCTTCGTCATGCCT